ATGATAAAATATCATTGTATAAGAAAAACGATTCTGAGCGGAGACGGTATGTCAGTCTATGTATAAGACATATTATATATGTATATAATATGTCTTATAAAACAAAAAATTGACCTATAATAGGTACCTATAATAAATTCCAAATTAATCATATCACAATGTCCATTAGGTACTTATAACGCGTTATACATCAACAAAAACCGTGATACTATCATAGATATAATATAATAGTACACTTTAGAAGTTTCAAGTACCCACGAATAATATTATTCAATCACAACAAAATAACTAAAATCGTAATTCTTGGTTTAAATATCAAATTTTGTCTAAATTTGAAATTAAAATGTCTGTAAAAAATAAGTGTGTTTATATATTTTTTAGATTTTTTGGTTACAGTATGAATTATTTAAGAGAATCTTTGTTTTAAATTTTCAACTCTTAGTTATAAAAACTGAACATTTTATAATTTTTTAATTCCAACGATTGATAATTTTCGAGATTTTGATAAATTTTGTCAAAATTCGATGTTTAAATGCTTATAAAAAAAAATTGTGCCTATGTATTTTTAATATTTTTCAACTGTTATTGTAACAATATATCAGGAGCCTTGTATTAAATTTTTACACTTTTTGGCCCAACAGATAAAACTTTATTGATATTTATAGAAAAAAAAACTAAAAAAAATTGAAAGCTGTAAATGTCCATAAACAGCTCAAAAAGAGTCAAAATATTTTCAAAATTGTATGGTGTATAGGAAATGCTAATATAAACATTCAGTGAAATTTTCATGTATCTACAGTTATTCGTTTTTGAATTACAACAAAATAAGGAAATCGCTACATGAGAAATCGAGTGAAAATCCAATGTTGTAAAAATTTGAATTTCAAACGCTCATAAAAATTTAATTTGACTGTCCGGTAGAGATTTTTTTATTGATAAAGGTAGATAATCTTATAAGGAATCTTGTGTTTCATTTTCAAATCTTAGATTTAAAAAGAAAAATTTTTACGAATTCTTAACTCAAAATAATTTGCTAATTTTCGTGATTTTTCCATATTTTGTCAATTTTTGAACTTTAAATGCTTATAAAAAAAAATTGTGACTAAGGATTTTTAATATTTTTCATCTGCCTTTGAAACAACATATTAGGAGCCTTCTATTAAATTTTCAAGCTTTCGCAACCAACAAATAAAATTTTATTGATATTTTTAGAAAAAAAACTAAAAAAAAATGGAAAATGAAAATGTCCCTAAACAGTTCAAAATAAATCAAAATATTTTGAAAATGTTATCGTGTATAGAAAATGCAAATATAAACAACCAGTGAAAATTTCATGTATATACGTTCATTTGTTTTAGAGTTACACCAATAACCAAAATCGATTTTTTGGAAAACCAATTTTGCGTAAAAATTCCCGTTTTTCCTTAATTTTTATGTTGTTTTTCCCGGCGCTTGTGAAAACTACTGGGAAATGTTTACTTTTGACCCCCCAAAGTACCAACTAGATTCACTTTCCTATCAGAAAAGGTACTATTGAAGAAAATCTAAGCACTTTTACTGTCCCAAAACGTGATGACAGACACAAAAATATAAAAATATAAAAATATAAAAATATAAAAAGGTGGGCAAGTGGGTGTCGCTCTGCTGTACAGTAGGTTACAAGTGGGTCACTGTATAATGGATGATATTAAATTTGAATTCAACGATATAATATCATTGTATAAGAAAAACGATTCTGAGCGCAGACGGTATGTCAGTCTATGTATAAGACATATTATATACATATCTATGGTATTAAACAAAAAATTGACCTATAATGGGTACCTATAATAAATTCCAAATTAATCATATCAAAATATCCATTAGGTACTTATAACGCGTTATACATCAACAAAAACCGTGATACTATCATAGATATATAAAAGTACACTTTAGAAGTTTCAAGTATCCACGAATAATATTATTCAATCACAACAAAATAACTAAAATAGTTATTCTAGGTTTTTTAATATGAAATTTCGTCCAAATTTGAATTTAAAATGTCTGTAAAAAATAACTGTGTTCATATATTTTTTAGATTTTTTGGTTACAGTATGAACTATTTACGAGAACCTTTGTGTTGAATTTGCAATCCTTAGCTATAAAAACTGAACATTTTATAATTTATTAATTACAATGATTGATAATTTTCGAGATTTTAATAAATTTTGTCAAAATTTGATCTTTAAATGCTTATAAAAAAAAACTGTGCCTATGTATTTTTAATATTTTTCAACTGATATTATAACAATATATCAGGAGCCTTGTATTAAATTTTTACACTTTTTGGCCCAACAGATAAAACTTTATTGATATTTATAGAAAAAAAAACTAAAAAAAATTGAAAGCTGTAAATGTCCATAAACAGCTCAAAAAGAGTCAAAATATTTTCAAAATTGTATGGTGTATAGAAAATGCTAATTTAAACATTCAGTGAAATTTTCATGTATCTACAGTTATTTGTTTTTGAATTACAACAAAATAAGGAAATCGCTACATGGGAAATCGAGTGAATATTCAATGTTGTAAAAATTTGAATTTCAAACGCTCATAAAAATTTAATTTGACTTTCTTATAAACATTTTTCTTTTGATAAAGGTAGACAAACTTATAAGGAATCTTGTGTTTAATTTTCAAATCTTAGATTTAAAACGAAAAATTTTTACGAATTCTTAACTCAAAATAATTTGCTAATTTTCGTGATTTTCCCATATTTTGTCAATTTTTGAACTTTAAATGCTTATAAAAAAAAATTGTGACTAAGGATTTTTAATATTTTTCATCTGCCTTTGAAGCAATATATTAGGAGCCTTCTATTAAATTTTCAAGCTTTCGCAACCAACAAATAAAATTTTATTGATATTTTTAGAAAAAAAACTAAAAAAAAATGGAAAATGAAAATGTCCCTAAACAGTTCAAAATAAATCAAAATATTTTGAAAATGTTATCGTGTATAGAAAATGCAAATATAAACAACCAGTGAAAATTTCATGTATATACGTTCATTTGTTTCAGAGTTACACCAAAAACCAAAATCGATTTTTTGGAAAACCAATTTTGCGTAAAAATTCCCGTTTTTCCTTAATTTTTATGTTGTTTTTCCCGGCGCTTGTGAAAACTACTGGGAAATTTATACTTTTGACCCCCCAAAGTACCAACTAGATTCACTTTCCTATCAGAAAAGCTACTGATGAAGAAAATCCAAGCACTTTTACTGTCCTAAAACATGATGACAGACACAAAAATAAAAAAATAAAAAAAAAAATAAAAAAAAAAATAAAAAAAAAAATAAAAAAACACACATCATTGTAAAATCAATACATTCATCGTTTCACTCAGAATCTAAAATATAAAAACACACATCATTGTAAAACCAATACATTCATCGCTCCGCTCAGAATCTAAAAGGTTACCAATATTTTGAAAGTTTTTTAGCAAAGTGGTGGGGGCTAACTTCACACAATAGTAGTTACTCTGCTGTCGAGATTCGAAACTTGTTATTTGTAAGGCGTTTTGTATAGGCAATATTAAGGCAAAATAATGCTACTTTTACGAATTTTCGTTCCATAATACCGACGAAATCCGATGATGCGATTTCGATATTGGAACGGATTTGAACTCCTCATTGTACTTAATTTTGATACTTTTTCCAATTATTTATCTGCAGAAGCGTAACTATTCGTTATTGCATATTGTATTAAATTTATAAACGCATTGCATTTTTTAAGTCAAACTTTGATAGTTGTATATAAGTACAAATTGTTCACGTTATGTTAACAAAATCTAAACCCGATTTAAAAATCATTATGAAGTCCACCTAAATACGGTGGAATGAAAACAGATTTTTAGCAGGAAAAACCGCCGTCCGTCTTCCACATTGATCAATATATCTCTCCTCGCGGTCTCCACAATCTGTGCAGAGTGCGTGTGACGGTAATAATTAATGCGTATAAATCATAATCAAAACAACATTTAAAACGATACGCAGTGGACCGAAAATCTCTCGGAAAAAATCTCGACTCGTTGCGGATCGCACCATCATAATATACAATATCGTTACGATATTATATAGGCCGCGTCAAAAATCCAACGACCTAGACGTAAACACGGTTCTGCACGCGGTACTTACCCATTATATACCTTGGTACCTGCAGCGATGTCCTTGACGATCGACGTCGACAAACCGCGATGTCATATAATTATTATTCCATCTCGTTCGCCGGCGACGTTCGGTTCGGAAGCACCTGACCCCGATTCGTCGCGCCAATCCTGTGCTATTTACAACGCATTATTATTATTATTATTATTATTATTGTTTACACAATATAATTTAATATCGTTTTATTGCGGTGTGCGCGTAAACCGATAAACGCACAATATTATAATACGGCCGTTTCGTCGTTATTAATATTAAAATTGTTATTATTTGTCATTCGCGCGTACACGAAACCGTTTCATGGCCATTAGCCATATAAACATATTTTCCCGAACTATGCGACAAACCCAGTCGATAAAAATGTCTACCTACTGCTGCACAACACACGCTGTTTACGCATTGCTCTGCGCCCGCCCGATAATGTATATTATTATTATTATAATAGTTTATTATGATTAATGATTATTGTTATTTAGTCGACGCAGTCGAATACTTAAAAATCGTGTTCGGTGCGCCGTTTGGTTTTCGATAATTATTTTAGTTAGGTATGTGTGTTAAATAATATTATAATGCCTGCAGTATAATATCGTATCGACGCAGCGCGTCTGTTAATGGTTATCCTGGAGGAGATTATTAGATTTTTGTACATAATTTATGTGATATTATGCTTGATAATATTACCAGAATCCGTCTGTTATTCGAACCGTATTAAAAAAAAAGGTGTTTTGTCGTTTTTGTTACAGAAATAGAAGCCAAAGAAGCGTGTAAATGGCTAAGAGCCGCCGGATTCCCACAGTACGCGCAAATGTATGAAGGTGAATAAATTATTATTATTATTATTATTATATAGGTACACCTCATGGGTCGAGATTTTCCGAATTTTTTCACCACGACGTTTTCTTTCCTGTATAGATTTGCAATTTCCCATTGACGTGAACGGCGTACAAAAGGACCATCCGTTTCTAGACCTAGACTCGTTACAATCGTTGTTCAGGAGACTGCACGCTCTGAACAGTTGCGCAAACATGAAATTGGATTTTGTGCCAAAACACGCAGTGAGTATATATACAGCTACCTATAATATACGTAGGTACATTGTTTTCTAGTTTTAAATCGATCGATTCAATTTAAAATATATTGTCGTTGTGCGGGGGTTTCGATCGATTAGAAACGCTAGCGTAGTAGTTTTGATTAAAACCGACGCGATAATATTATGCCATTTGATTATTAATATTATATTATTATGTACAGTTAATCAATGGTTGTATAATATTATGTCGAACGCGGAGATAAAACACGTGAAACGTATACGTGTTAATATTTATTTATAACACGACGAAACGCATAAATAATCAAACACACGGACTGCAGCAGCTGTGTACGATAATATTTTAACACCACTGCACACGATAGTATAATATTATTACGCTTGTTTTAGTTACGATCGAGTCTGTAAAACAAAATATAATTTTATTATATTTAGCCCTCGACTAGCGCAACTGCACGACCCGATACCAAACCGTTCCAGCCCAATTCCAATCGACACCGAAATCAATATCTTAGATTTTACTCAAAACCGTTGCTATCCTATATTATGTCGTCCCGGCCTGGGGTTTCACTTATCACCCACCGAGGTCCAAGATATCGGACTACGCACGATCACGGCCTCCCCGAGGATTTTATCAAAAAAACACCCTCCCTCTCAAATTTCTACCGCCCTCGGACGTAAGAAGAACGCTTTTCTACAGAAATCCATTCTCCGTTTACAAATCTATATATACGCTACACGCCACCTAGAACGCCCATAGTCTAGGGAAATGCTACCGACAACAATTACCCTGTTCGCCATTCTGCAGACCGGTCCCAACTACTGCTGTAACCGCGGTAACTTATTAAAACCAATATAAACTGAAACCTCATTAGGCGCATTAGGCAACCGTCTGACACGAGACCATATTATTACTATAGCAATACAATCGGCTGAAATAAGCACAACCCGTCTTTGTACTCGGATACAATAATATTTTTGAATAATAATAATGTGGGTAATACCATTTATTATAATCGACGATAATACATAATCTTTTTATAAGTACAAATTTATATAATATATGTTTAATGGCTTAATCGCCATTTATCGCTTAATTTATCGGGGGGCATTCCTTGCAGCACCCATTGTGATTTTCGTAAAAAAAATTATATTGTCCCGTTAAATTTTGCTGCAAAATCTGAGCGTCGATTTATGCGCAACAAATGTTGGCACCATCACATTACAATGGCGATGATAGTCGGCGTGATGCCAATATAAATAGTAAAAACCGTTTTAGCGTAGCATTTTGCGCCAAATTTGGTGTAAATGCCACCGCGTGTTTCCACACCACCCATATAAACATTTCTATTTCCTAGCCTGAAGTCATTTGTGCAATAATTGATATTTAACTAAATTAGGTAGGTACCCTTTTTAGATAATATACCTTATACATATAGATATATTAAGGTAATAACTATAGATTTGATGTCTCAGTAATATAAGTACCCAGAGCTGGATGACCATTATGCTTAATACTTAAGGATTTAGGTTTAGTTTTAATACTTTGGGCTTGTACAAGTCACATAAGACATACAGACGAGTATAGCCTCTTGTATTAAACTCTAAATATATAATGAGTATTTAGTTGTGTCGTTTTTGCAGTATTTCACTGAGTAGAGGTCAACAATAATGCCTTAAAAATGTGTGTCCCTAAGTGTCCATGTGTAACATTCCTTCCTTTTTCCTCTGAATTCATCCCCCTTTGCTGCGCTTTCCTCTCCGTCGGAGCTATTTGTGATTTCGAACATAATATTGTTTTTTTACTGTACATCACTATAATATACTCTTGTAGAAACACACTATTTTCCTTCTTCTCTCTTCATTAGGTTATCATTATCCCTGTCCCGTATAATTTGACTTATTCAAAATTCTTGTTCTCTCCGCCCGTTATCGCCAATATTATTTCCTTAATTAAATTATCTAAAAAGCTGCTTCTTGATTAAACCGCTTTTATAAGCTGTGGAATTGAAAATACAATTTGCCGTTCGATATAAATTATGTTTGAAAGGGTGTCGTAATGCAACCCGGCGTAAAACCGCGCATTATCAATATTTAATGTGACATAACATACCTAATATTATTGTAATAACGATCGGCGACGTGTGTCACAGGGTGACGACTCGGACTCCGAGGGGGAATGCGCGCTGAGCGAGAACTGGACTTTCCAGAGGGAGTCGAGGAGGTGGTCCAGGGTGGACGACATCGTCAACACGGCGGTGATGCTGCAGCAGCAGCTGCAACCGTCGCCGCCCGTCGACCGCCATCAGCAGCAGCAAAACCACGACCTCCAATCGTCGCAACAGGTCGGCGTCGGAGGCAAGTTTGGAAGTAACGCCATGCCACAGCCACCGGTGCAGTCGGCCGAGCAGCTTCAGGCGGCCGCTGCAGCGGCGGTGGCGGCCGACGCGTCGGACGCGGCACTGATCTCGCGATTCCGCCGGTCGGGCAGCGAGCGGATCAGGGACGGGGCCAAGGCCATCCTGCGCAGGGTGGAAAGTCTGAAGACGAGACGTCGGAAACAGCGCAACCGCGACGGCGTAGTCATCGGTTCACCGCAGGTTTGTGCAAACTTCTATTATGATATATTATTATATTATGTACATACACGATTTTGCTGTACGTGATACAAGTATGATATAAGTAATTCAGTGTGCGTGGTCAATAGAGTTCGTCAAGTCGGTTTTTGGTGGAAATATGACTTGACTTTGCACTGGATATAATATTCGAGGCATAGAATATAAGTATAGGTACCGCTGATATTTGATAACATCGACAGCTCTAGCGAACACAAGTCGTCCAGACGAATTGACCCTTGTGTGTTTTTTTCTTAAAAAAACTGTATTTTTATATTGATAATGATTTCTTATCGGTTTTTTTAGTCCCAACTTAAATATTTTAAAAAATATTTGTTGTTTTACTATAGTTTTATAAATGTTGGTATTTGCAATGGTATTTTTGTTTCTGTATTCGGTCCAATGACTATTAATTTTTAAAACAATTCTCGCATAATAATATAATACATATATATAAAAACAAGTTTATTAAGTTTAATAAGATGTATTTAGAAATCTGTACACGTCGCATCTGATTAAAAGTTTAAAAAAATGCAGCAACTGCAGTCGACCCTTCACAATATAGCTGTAAAGGTATATTTTGAATTTCACGATGCTAAGGAATACCTAACAGTATTTTAAAATCAATTATGGTTAAAAAAAACTGATATAGAAAAATATTCTGATTTCAAATAATATTATAGACAAGATAACATGATAATAATATGACGAGTCTCCACAAAATTACTAGAAATGAGCCTGGTAAAATTGAAATGGTATCCGTTTTGATCTTTCATGGACATTTACAGGAAAATATTCACTAAAATAAACAAATACATTTATTGCTTTCTTTTTTTAATAATTTGAACATTAATTCTGAATGTATAGGCACTTAATATAAACTCGATGGGAACAACATAAATACATAATACAAGCTACAACTATTATAGGATCTGCTGTGTAAATAGGTTCGTAAAATAACCAACAGAACAAGTAAATAATATAATAAGGTTATCAAAAACCAAAAGGTTAAATATTGAGGTCGTAAAAAATGTTTAACCATAAATTATAATACGAATTTCTCCCAAATATTGTACTTACTTAATATGTACGCACAGCAGGATCTATAAAAAACAATATGACGGAAGAGCCGCAATAAAAGGTTACTGTTACACGAGTGTCCGTCGGTCGATCTAAAAAAATAATATTCCAATGAGAATAATTACCATAAATGTGTATAACTTACAAACCTAATGCGTACACTGGAGTTCCAAAACATATACATATTATATACCTAACTTTAGTTTCAAATAAATTATTGTAACGTTTAGTCTTTAGTACAATAACAATATATACATAATATCCTCATTAAATAGTCATTATATCGATGGATTTGTTTAATTCCTCGTCCCCCGATTATTTCCAAAAACCAGATGTCCTTGAGCCCGAGATTTCTAATTTTAATGTATTGCTATATACGTATTGGTAAAATCTCGAACGCGGTTAGGTTATAACGAACGGCAATGCGACCATAAAAATAATATTATTAAATGTCTTAAACTCTTAATTACTTGAATACGATTTGTTATACGATAACATTAATGCCCATGCTTATATTAGGTATCATGGTTTTTTCAGGAAAACGATAAAACTATTTCAAAATTAAAAAATATAAAAATATTTATAAAATAAGGTGCATTTTTTATATTTGTAATTTTCTACCCATATTTATTTGTGGCCTAGTCCATTATGATAGATTAACTACAAAAATAATATTATTTTCCGTATACTATGCATATTACCTATGTCATTATGTCGTGGATTTTTGCCAAATGATTAGTAACGGTGCCTATATAGGTGTTAGGATTCGAATATTTTTCTATAGACATTATATTTTACGTAAATTATTCTGAAAAAAGTGTAGGTAAATTCTTATGTTGAAAACTCAAATCTTAAAATCTAATTTAAATAATCGATAGCAATAGGTAATGGTAAACACAGATTTCTATATATTACTAGATAGCGAACTCCGGTCATGAATTGAAGCTTCAAGGTCGGTTGGCAATTGTATGGTATTTCATATGACAAATAAGATGATATTATGATTTATTTTATATCGTATTTTATTATTTTTAAACATTTAGTTTACAAAAAAAAAAAAAATATTTTATATAAGTCATTTTACATTTACTATTTTATTTGACCGTTAAAAAAAATATTATTCCTAATACATTTTGTATAATAAATGAAATGTTTTGCCAACCGACAAAATGGCGGCCGTTCACAGCTGAGCTTCACTTGTAACAATGTAAATTGTATAAGAGTTCCTTATCTAGTGTAGTATAGAAGTCTGTGATGGTAAATAATCTCACAGGAGTTTTTAAAAAAGAATAATATCTATGTCCAATGTACGTTTCCATCTATGGCTGATATATTTGTCGAGGCGATGACGAGATGTATTCTGTAATTCGTTTTCTTTTATCAGCTACGCATCTTTCGGTCAGGCTGATGTTTTTTTTTTATTAACTTACGATTACATGCATGTATAGTATATTATTACAACTCTTATAATACATACCTTATATACCTATACATATGCCAGTACTATTCTATACTATATTCCAAGACGTACTAGAACTATACCAGGTTTTGTCATCACCGGTATTACTTTTTTTTTTTTTGAACATTCCTATTCGTCTTACTCGTCAAAAATTAAATAAATACGTTTTCGATTTGAACGAAAAGCCGTCTCTCAACGCTTGTTTTAATGTATCGATTTTCCTCTCGTATGCGCAGATCATAGACATGAGTTCGATGCAACAACGGATGAAGGAACTTAACTGCGTGGACGTGACACCGCCAGATTCACCGGTGACCGACGACCACACTAAGACCAAACGGTTCTTGGCCAAACCCGAGTCGCTGGACTCGCTGGCATATTCCGATTCAGAACTGTCGTGGAGAAACGAGTACACGGACGCCAACAGCAACAACACCAAGGTAAAAAATTGATTAAAATTTCTGCAATGCACGTCATAATTTTGTATTAAAATTGGACGTAATGTCGATCGTAATTGTATATATTATCACGTACATTTTTGTCGTCTAAATAGCCGCTGCTGGATTTCATGGCCTTTGACGGGAGTAACGAATTCTCATCTACCAACGGCAGTCAAGACAGCCGCACGTACAAAAACAAATGTAAAATCCGAATACATCATTATACGTTCAACTATTTGTGCTCATAACGTTTATTGTGTTTATTGTATTTCTAGACAACGACAGCGTGGATTCGGTTTCAAGCGCAGTGCAAGACAGCGATCAAGATCTAACCATCAAATCAAAGTAAATAATATAATTATTACGTCTCACACGCGTTTATAATGTTATAGTATTTTTAATAAAATTTCACGACGTTTGGGCAAGGAGGGAGTGATTTTTTAGTTAAACTTTAGTAGGGAACATTCCGGTCAAATTATGTCCGCACGTTAGGTTGGTGATTTTTACAGACAATATATGTATTACGGTGTATTATTTTGAAAAACAATAAATTGTAGCATTTAATTTTCCAAAAATAAAACTGACAAATATTTTAGCTGAATATCATAGGTATTACGATGTGTGTGTTTTAACTTACAACGTCTTATAATTTACAGAGGGTCAGTTGTTCGGTGGCATAGTTTTCAAAAGACCAAAAATCGGCCCAATGCCTTGGCCGGACAAATGGTCGGGTCGCTCACGGTTGGTCAGCTGTTGGTGTTGCGGAAGTTCGCTCTTCTCAAGCTGACTGCCATCATGGAACGGTATTGTCCGACACACCGGACCGGATGGAACTGGGAATTGCCCAAGTTTATGCGCAAAACCAAAATGCCCGATCCCAAAGGTACGTACGTTACAGAAGCGATGGGACCCACACACAATGAAACGAAACGTATTATTATAGAATTCCCTTTATGAATTCGATATTATTTATTGTTGTGTAGAAAACATTTTTTTTTTTTTTTTTCTCATTATTATTTTTATCGTTTTTCTCTATATAATTGTTATTCGTTTCAGATAAGACCGTTTTCGGAGTTCCGCTGATCGCCAACGTGCAAAAATACGGTTCGGCACTGCCACCGTTCGTCCAGTCTGCTTTTCGGTGGCTCGAAGACAACGCTCTCGACCACGTGGGGTTGTTCCGGAAGCCTGGCGTCAAATCCCGAATACAGCGCCTAAAGCAACTGGCCGAAGCCGACCCGGAGGACGTGAAGTTCGAAAACCATCAGTCCTACGACGTGGCCGACATGGTGAAGCAATACTTCCGTGTGTTACCGGAGGCCTTGCTTACCAACAAACTGTCCGAGAGTTTCATCGCTATTTTTCAACGTGAGTATAGTATTAGTAGTTAGTATCTATAATATATTATAATATATACAGGAAGATAAATTTTAAATTTTAAATACTATTAAAAATACCTGACCAAAACTGTTATCTTAAAGTAACCCGTGCTGCATGGGGATTCGCTGTTTTGCTTTGTTTAATCGTATTCTGTTTCGACCCAGGCTACCGCCAAAAAGTTTAAAGTGGTATGTTGGTTTAGTATTGGTTAAAATGATATTGGTCTGGATCTAAATCTTGGTGGTATGGGAATCTTAGGATAATATTTCTTATGTTTTCGAACGGTGAGGATTATACATTTTGTTTTTAATGTTAGATGTGGATTTCGGGGGAGCCTGTCTTTAACGATACAATACTATAATACACATACTAAAATATGACCCACGTAATACGTAGACGTTCCGGTGTACTTGCAAAAGGAAGCGGTCCATTACACGGTGCTGCTGTTGCCCGACGAACACCGCGAAGCCCTGTTCGCGCTGCTCGACTTCCTGTTCCGGGTTTCGTCCAGGAGCAACGTGAACCAGATGTCCGCCAGCAACCTGGCCGTGTGTTTGGCCCCGTCGCTGTTCCACCTCGGGAACACCGGCTCCTGGTCGTCGTCGCACCCGCACGGCGGCTCCGTCGGCGGGTCAACGCCGTCCAGCCCGGTCACGTCGCACAACCGTTCGTCGTCCGTGTCGCCACGCCGGAACCACCATCAGTCGTCTGCCGCCTCCGCCGCCACCATCGGTCTGCCCGATTCCAAGCAGCTGGGACAGAACAAGGCGGCGCACGACTGCTTGCTGTTCCTCATCAAGCACTACCGTCAACTGTTCGCCGTACGTATATTATTATGCACATGACGTACAATGTCGTAATTGTAGTGTGCAAGAGGGGGGGGGGGCACTTGTCCCCCCTGAAATCGTTGTCCCCCCCCCAAAGATATGCCGACGAAAGAAATCTTTAAATCTTCTAAAATAAAGAAAGAATGCGCAATAGGGCCATTTTAACGTAGATTTATAAGATAAAAAATTTATTTCCTCAAATTATATTCATTTCACGTTTCTCTTGTCTGATATATTATGTTGACGTATTATGAATGTCATCGAATTATTTATAACATACATATAACAAAAACAACACAATAATATTATTTCATGAATATCGTGATTATAGAATGGTCATCTCATTATTTTTTCCAAACATTTTCATAATTGATATGCGTAATACGCATGATAGGCTAGGTCTCTCTCTTGGCCTTATCATAAGAGATCAAGGACTCAAATACCTAACCAAAACTAACCATAATATAGTAACCGCATTTGACCAAAAGCTCGTTCCGTCTATATGTATACGTTTTTTGTACTCATTTCCGAAATCTATTCTATCGTATATTAATAATTATACGTAGCTTATAAATTTTCTATATTGACCCGTACACTGCTTATATTGACATTTTTGTTCGGTGATCGATAAACCCGAACCTATAATAACAAATATGTCGTTCTAATTTTATAAACTTAAGGTACGCAATTGATCTATCTATAACCGACACGTTACTATCTGACAATGACACCCCGCGCTACACACGCATACATTTTGAACTAGGTTGATTATATTCTGTTTATTAATCAGTGGTTTTCGTTTCATAATCAGATGTCAGATGAAATCATGAGTCAGTGTCACTTCAGCTACATGGACGAAAGCATACCAATAAGCCTGGAAGAACTAGGAGCGGAAATGGGCCACGACTGGAGAGGATACCTGAACGTGTGTACGTCGGCGTTGCTTAAAGAAGCTAAAGACAAGTAAGCAAGAAGTCTAATTTGTAATCGTAAATGTATATGATATATGCTCGATATTATATACATTGTAATATCTAACGAAAAACGATAGTTAATAAAAGAAAAACCAACTCTAGTGACTACATAATATAGATAGATAAAGGAAGTCACCATGAACATTCAAAAAGTATACATGCTATAACTTTTTCAAATTTTTCATTTTACCAATTCTATACAGTATACACATAAGTAGTGTATTCTTCACTATGTATATAGTATTGTAAAGAGCTCGAACAAATATAGTACAACTTACTATTGTAGTATTGTATATGAACTAGTACAAGTTGGTATAAGTAATAATAGTATGTTCTATAATAGTAATTACTATGTTTACTCGTCTAAAGTCTAAACTTAATTTAATGTTATTTAATAACAACAATATTATATACATCATATTATAAGGAATAACACAGAGGGGTAGGTATGTAAAATGTTAAAATCGCCCTTGGAGGTGCACATCATCATCCTAGGTCATACAGGATTACCCCTCTTTTACCCTAAATTTCAAAACCATAGCGAGTGTGATAGACTTGGCCGTGGATCGCTTTCGCGGACACAAACACACAAACGTCACAAACATTGACTTTTTTGATATATATAGAGGATTAAAATATTAGATATTATTATACAATCATACGACCTGCAGATATAATGTTAATCTGAAAATTTACAACTTGGGCGCTGTCATGTAAATAATATATTAAACGCGGTACGTACGTGTGTTTTCAGGAACAGGGGATGGATGGCCGTGGGCAGTTTCGAGAACGTCGACATATCGTACAAGAAGGTCGGCGACGGACACCCGTTGCGGCTGTGGCGGGTGTGCACGGAAGTGGAGGCGCCACCCGCCGAGGTGCTCGCCCGGATCCTGTGGGAGAGGCACGTGTGGGACGCCGACCTGGTGTCGGCCAGGGTGGTGGCCAAGATGGACGCGCGCGCCGACCTGTACCAGTACGCGGTCGCGGCGATGGCCCCGCATCCGGCCAAGGACTATTGCGTGGTCAGGTCGTGGCGAACCGATCTCAACCGGGGCGGTTGCGCGGTCGTCGAGACGTCCGTCGAACACCCGGACGCCAAGCAACCGGCGGCGGGCTCGGTCCGTGGCATCGTGCTCGCCTCCAGGTACCTGATCGAACCGTGCGGTTCGGGCCGATCCCGAGTACTGCATTTGTCGCGAGTCGACACAAAGTGAGTGTACCATTTGGTTTAACTGTTTTTGCGATTCTTGACGGTCTTGGGTGCCTTCTCGTCGTAGGCTATTATAGAGCTGATAGACAATCTGAAAACAAGTTTAAATTTGTTATGATACAATTATACATTTTAAATATTAAATCCAAGACAAAAATAGAATTGAAATTGGAATTCATTGCGGTTCATAATTTTTATATTTCCAAATTTTGATAAGTGTAGTTAGTGTATATCTGCAGTTAAAGCTCCGTCTCAAATATGAATGACCTGAGCAGGTGGCAACCGATTTTCGTCCTTTCTGTCAGGTCGAACCCATCGAATAAATCGGTTTTCGATGACATTTTTGGTTTGTTACGATCGACCGATGCCGAAAAATTGTTCTACCCTGTTAATCATAACAAACTGTAACTTATATAATTATATAGGCGTGATAGAATAATAAAGTGACGCTCCACATCAAAAAATTAGTCTGCATCGAATCTCCATTATATTTTCAAAATATTACTATTTTAGAAAATGATTACTGGGAATATACTATGTAGAACCATGGTTTTAAATTTTTTCCTTATCATTGTCGCGTGTTTAGTGTTTACCCATGTCGCAAAACACCGAAAGTATTTGCATATTTTATTCATCGTGTATATGAAAAAGTATTGATCTCCGTATGAAAATATTCAAATGTCCTACAACGCGGTATTTTATTTTTTTTAATGTTTTTATCATATTATTATAATTTTATCTATGAATATTTTTAAATAAATAGACATAATATTTCTCATACTAATTGAAAATATTTATCATATAATATTTCAGTAGTAAAATATTATAGTAGCTCCCATTATTGTGCCGGGTTTAAAAAAATGATTAAGCAAAAATAACAAAAATATATTTTTTAATTCGAATCAATACTTATTTTTTTATTAGTGTTGGGCGTATAGACGAAGGAAAATAATATTTCTATACGTGCCACTATATTAGGTCACGGTTTGAATATTTGATAATAATAATAAAAAAAGACTACAATATAATATGGCGTTGAATAATATAAAAATGCAGTTCAACAATTACGTTTGCCATTCCATAATGTTAATGTATTACGAAGTATAATAACATATTATATTATATTGTACTATAATTGAAACTTAAACAAACAAAATACGATAATAACGACACCTTTGTCATTTTTCAGGGGCAGGACGTGCGAGTGGTACAACAAGATATACGGACACATCACTTCCAAATATTTGTCGGCGATACGAAAATCTTTCGAACACTCGGCTGACGGTCCCGAGAGCAAAGTATGACTCGGGCGCCGCCGATTGTTATTGCAGGTTTTGTTTTTTTTAATATATTGTTGTGATTATTATTATTACTGTTATCGTTATATTATATTTAATCGTTCTCCCCCAAAACGATTTCCGAGTCGACACAATATAATTGTAATGATATAATACCATCAATAATAATTATTGTATTAATTATTAATAGGTACCTATAAATTATAGGTATTCAATATTGTACATAATATCATTAAGTGTTATACGATAATCGGACGACGAGTCGCGATGGACGCTTTCAAATATTATATATTGTTTGTATCATTGTATTATTATATAATTTTTTTTTTATTATTATTATTATATTATTATCATTATTTTATTTTGAATGTTCTAACTGTACACAATATTATTACTATATAACCTAGACCGCGTTGTTACAAAACAGTAGACTGATCGGGGTACGTGTATCCACGCGTGCCCCTCCCCTTCCGACCTCCCAGAAAACACAAAACTCTTATCGGTTTTTATTAATTTTTATTTTTTAACGAATTCGTAAAGGTCACGATTATTACGAATAATTTTTGCTTACGAATAAAAACACCGACTCAGTGATACGACGCTATTATCGGTAGTATTATTATCGTTATAATATTTTATTATTATTATTATTATATCGTACACGCGAAACTGTGTGCGGTGTATCGGTACGATAACTGCAGCAAAACGGTGCAATCAAAACAGGGTATAGTTTTCGATTGTATTTAAAAAAAAAAAAAATTAATTCGCGTACCAATTAAAAAAGTTCCTATGATGTTATATTATGATTTAAATTGTACAACGACAATATTATTATATTATGCAATAACCGATATTCAGTTCATTCGACCATAATATTATTATAATACACCGCGCGATTTGACTTATTTCTCTACCCATATTATACACCCTTCATAATATAATCCAAAAACGATATCTGCACGGACGAGACAAACACTGTTAGAAATTTTAAAATTCGAAACATGTCGACGACGGGACCATAATAATAATAATATATTATTGTTGTTGATTTATGCCGACAGTAAAGAAACACATCACATTACGTTATTATTATAATTATTTATGATAGACATTTTACTTAATTTTTAAGCGTTTGAAATGTATATTTTACCATTTTATTTCTTTTTTATAATCATTATTATTATTATTATTACTGTGTATTGTGTTTGTTAATAGCTATAATAAGTATACTATATTATTATGTAGGTGCCTCTTACCTTATTTTTCAAAAAAAAAAATCGCGCATTTTATGTTTTGAAATATAAATTATTATTATGCGTTTTAAAACTAATATAATATATTAATTGTACATTTCGTCGCTCAAGACGTACTATCGTGTATAATATGATAATTATTATTATTGTTCAGTGTTAGAATATAGTTACCTTATTATATATAATTTTTTTTCTTGTGTTAAATTATGATTTAGAGATATTATAAAATAAAAATATTGTTCTATGTTCAGTACAAAACGTTTGTATTATACTTTTGCCCAATATATTATGTTGAACATCGATCATTTTTCGGGGGGAAAATGTCCTACTACGCCAAAAACAATCAGGGGGAAAATGTCCGGGGGGAAATTGTCCGGATACCAAATTAATTATATTACAAGTGGCGCGTTATGTTTTATGCAAAAAAATTATAGATATATTAATGTTATATTGTATATTATTTAATTTAATTTAAATGTTGAACGATTACTTATGTCTTAAATACAGTATTCATTTATGATCGGTACCAGCATATAATATATAGGTAAAGTTAATTGTTTCGTGGTTATCGGTACGATGCCCATGTTTGAAGTTTAATTTCGTAACATAATATGCGCAGTAGGCGTGATTTGAGGAGTGCTCCAGTGTAGTACGCCTATATAATCGGTATATATATTAAATAAAGCTCTTAAAAAAAGAGACAATAATAGCAATCGGCAAACTTATAGATAATAATTAATAATTAATACATTTACAGTAACTTTTTAAAACCGGTTAAAAATCTCGGAAAAAAGAACAAAAAATTAAAAACCCATAAATATGAACACAATATTATGTACCATATGCAGTACGTCCTGATTTAAGGGTACTCGAAAAAAAATCCCCAAATCTACACCTAACTGTCGGATACAGATGTAAAAGTGTAATAAATAATAATGAATAGGTACCTAGGTAATAATTAAAGTAAAACAATATATAAATTTCCAATACATTAGTTTTTCTACTTACACTTTTTTAAAACCCACGCCACGTTACTTGTCGGTATTATATCGTAATCGCAATCGCATTTATTAAGAGGACGTTACACCGACATATTTTGTTGTCTCCGTTTAAGATGTACAATTATATATAAGTAAACTTAGCAAACACAACAAAGCAAACTTAAGGGATTTTTTTCGGGGGATTTCCCTAGATTCAATTTAAGCGAGTACTTATGGTGATTATATTATTGAGTTACTTTGGAGTTTGGACCCAATATTTTGAAATGGCCCACAAAACCGTAAGTCATAAATTCCAATCATATTATTATAACGACATAACTTTTAAGTTGCCTATAAGATAACTTATTAGTAATTTATCTATTCTGTGGTAATAATGACTTGTTACGTTACCAACCGTTCCCGTATTCTGTGATGGACACATAGTATATCAGAGATCGGACCATACTATACCGTGTTCTGTTCCATAATATACCAACGCGATTCGTGGAAAACTCATTTATGGGGAAATCTCGTCTATAAATTGAAACTCACCGATAAAAACTTCGTCATTTTGATAGAAATTTTTAGTAATGAAAATGATCTACTGATCGTACTCTATACGACGTCGTGTGCCCTCCACAGGCTGCTGTAGTGATCGAATATCGATATCATCACAATATATCGAAGGTTTTTTTTTTAATTGGTATCTACTAATGTGTTTTATTTCTAATAGAGGCCTTCTAATGTTTACGTCACAAATATCGTAAATTAGGCCCTGTCCGATGTGGCGACATCCCTATGGCAGATATGATATTATGATTTGCACGCTTTATGATGATTTCAAAACGCGTTCCTAGTACGAGTTGTCGGGAGAAATAGAGATTTCTCAGTTCAACAAAAATAAACCCAAATTAAGGAACAATATTCACTTTGTTGAATATATATTGATCAGGATCATATATCCAAGATAAACAAGGCAAGGAGGAATACCGAGGCGAACTTGCAAGTCCTGCAGCAGAGGTCCGCATGAATCTTATTGCGAGTCAACGAGAATCAAAGGATCGTCGTCGATCCTCGGAGGGTCTTTATCGCATTATATTATAATACCTATGGCTATGGGCTACGACTATTATGTTTTTCCGAACTTCTGATAACATGACATTTCGTATTGTAGTATTGATATTAAATTTCTATGCATATATAATAATGAACGTCCTAATATTTACAATTTACACACTATTCAAACGGGCTGGTCTGCAGCTACAGCTATTGCTCACTACAGTTCAGTTACAATAGCAGACAGCATAAATAGTTATAAAGAGCCCTCGTCTTATATTATTATGACGTTTTAATAATAATCCGACCCTATAACCGAGTGAATAATAATATAATGGACAACGATATTAAATACCATACATTAATATTATAATTAATGCATTTTAGCTTACATATTACCTGAATTATTTACACTTGATTTGTCTTTACATTTAGATTTTTTTTAACAAGATAGGTATTAATCGATTTATTGTTATGTATTGATTTTCTGGTAGGTATGTGGAATTTATTGTTCAACTCTGTAAAATTTGGACATTGGACTATAGTCCGTAGTGTGACTGTGGTTTGACTGTCGTGTTTTGTATATTGGATGTTGGACATAACTACATAAGGATAATATTAATAATTACTTCTAACTGCGGATTCGCCTGGCAATTCTCCTCGTTAAATCGGAAGGCGATGTGCTAAAAGTTCAACGCTTCATATACACAAACGCATTACGTAGGCGAGTCGTTTCGTTGCTGCGCGTTTAAATATTTGAAATTCAAATACAGCAAAGTAGTATTATTTATGTACTTACGTTAATAATATTATGTTTATTATTATAAATGTATGGTGATTGCAGGTGAATTAGTTTATTATATTATTATGTCTATATACCTACGCCGTTGCTCGTGCGTAACGCGTATACAATCCGCTTTATTTAAATCATTATCGTCTCGAACAACTCGCTAATGCTGACAATTAATATTTAAAAAAAATTCAAATGATACACTTTAGTTGTATTAGTGTATTATAGGTGTGGAGATAAACCGACTGCGATGTATTATACCTCTTTTAGTGGTGCACGCCAAACCACTGCAGGCTATTGTTTAACGGGTTTATTATTATTCGGATGTGCACGTTTATTACATAATTTATAAAATATGTATATTAAAGTGTATTATATGGACAGCACAGGATACTAAATATTGGCAAGTTACCATACGCATACGCTTGCCGATTCACAGCCGTGTATTGTACATATATAATTTATAATACATATATATACCCACCTACCTAAAGGTTTCACGGTTGTCTCGTATATATGAAAATGCAGATATTTTAATATATTAAAAAGGTGCTCTGCTGTACAGTAGGTTACAAGTGGGTCACTGTATAATGGATGATATTAAATTTGAATTCAATGATATAATATCATTGTATAAGAAAAACGATTCTGAGCGGAGATGGTATGTCAGTCTAGGTAAAAGACGTATTATATACTTATCTATGATATTAAAAAAAATTACCTATAATAAATTCCAAATTAATCATATCACAATATCCATTAGGTACTTATAAGTTATAACGCGTTATACATCAACAACAAACCCCGATACTATCATAGATATATAATACTATTATAATACTATTATAATAATAGTGTACTTTAGAAATTTCAAGTACCCACGAATAATATTATACAATCACAACAAAATAACTAAAATAGTTATTCTAGGTTTTTTATTATGTAATTTCGTTAAAATTTGAACTTAAAACGACTATAAAAATAAACTGTGCTTATTTAATTTTTAGATTTTTTGGTAACAAAATTAACTACTTACGTGGAATCTTTTTATACATTTTCTATCTTTAGATATAAAAGTTGAACATTTTATATATTTTTAACTAAAAAATAATTATTCAATTTTAAATTTGATAGATTTTGTCAAAATTCGATCTTTAAATGATTATAAAAAAAAAATTGTGGATAGGTATGTATTTTTAATATTTTTCAACTGATGTTGTAACAATAAATCAGGAGCCTTGTATTACATTTTTAAGCTTTTTGGCCCAACAGATAAAACTTGATTGATATTTATAGAAAATAAAACTAAAAAAATTGAAAATTGTAAATGTCCGCAAACAGCTCAAAAAGAGTCAAAATATTTTCAAAATTGTATGGTGTATAGGACGTGCTAATATAAACATTCAGAGAAATTTTCATGTATATACACTTATTCGTTTATGAATTACAACAAAATAAGGAAATCGCTATATGAGAAATCGAGTGAATATCCAATGTTGTAAAAATTTGAATTTCAAACTCTCATAAAAATTTTATTTTACTTTCTTATAGACATTTTTTTTTTTTGATAAAGGTACCTAGATAATCTTATAAGAAATCTTGTATTCAATTTTAAAATCTTAAATTTAAAAATAAAAATTTTTACGAATTCTTAACTCAAAATAATTTGCTAATTTTCGTGATTTCTCCATATTTTGTCAATTTTTGAACTTTAAATGCTTATAAATAAAAAAACTGTGACTAACGATTTTTAAAATTTTTTTCTGCCTTTGAAACCATATACTAGACTTCTATTAAATTTTCAAGTATTTTTACTCAACAAATAAAATTTTATTGATATTCATAAAAAAAAACTAATAAAATTGGAAACTGAAAATGTCCCTAAACAATTCAAAATAAATCAAAATATTTTGAAAATGTTATCGTGTACAGAAAATGCATATTTATAAACAACCATTGAAAATGTCATGACAGACATTATATTCTGTGTTAATAATATCATAAGCTAATGAGTACCTTGTACCTACCTAGTAATGATAGACTACATGACTTTGTGACAATAATCATTCAAAAATATCGAATAGAAGTCTTACGATTAGTAATGAAATATTATTTAGATTATAGAGTTTTCAATTATAGTGTTCGCGCAGAAGCGCAATATCTGTACTAATATTATAAAGCTAAAGAGTTTGTTTGTTTGTTTAAACGCGATAATCTCAGGAACTACTGGTTCGAATTGAAAAATTATTTTTGTGTTGAATAGTTAATTTGTCGAGGAAGGCTATAGGCTATATAACATCCCGCTACGACCAATTAATAGAAGTGCTGAAACAGGGATTTTGAGATTTACGATGGAAATATTTTTTTCATAAATGGTTGCTATTGGTTATAGGAGAAATAATTAATATAAATAGTATTTATTAATTATTTATTATTGGTTGCTATTGGTTAATCGGGTAGATCAGGTACAAGCATGCATCATATCGAATTTATAATATTAGTAGGTATACATAAATGAATATTTGTGTGCAGATCTCTGGGAAGAAGATAGGCTAATTTAAAAAGGGTTAAATTTGGTTTTTTTTATTTATTGGATTTTAGTACGGTTAGGTTAGGTTAGGATTATGTATTAATTGGTTATATTAATCCACCGTATTATATCAAAATAAACTTGGTAGAATTATTTAGAGTTAAATAATACTTTTACAACATTTTTATTTTCTCTGCTCATTTGAATCCTAACAAAATACACTTGCCCGGCTTATGTATGAGAAATTTGAGTATTAAAATAATCATACTTACATTTCCCAAAAAAACTGTCATCGCATAACGATGCCCGATTTCCTAATCTGCCCGTAACATATACATTGCACAATGTACATTTTAGCTATTCATTTTCAATATGGATTAATTTAGTATTTATTATAATTTATAAGTAATGATTGGACAAGGGTAGAATTTTCTAACATAATATAAAAATGTTGACTAATTTGTATCATTTTATCGCTGGCAGTTATCATATTTCCCCGTTCTTTGGTGATGTGTGAAATTATTATTGTTTTTTTTCTAAAGAAGTATATAACTTACAAATATATTTATTTTTTACTGGTTATCATAATAATATCAATCATTAAATGTGTACCTATCTAATGAATACCTATTAATAATTTAGAAATATTTTATTGCATCAGTTTTGTGGAAAATACATAAATACCAAAAGTGTATCATGTAGCCCCATGCCGCCATGCTCCCGTACATAGTAGCATGTGTAGACGTGTAGTTATAACCATGCCAACTCTTGTATCTGTGATTAATTTTCTATAGGTATGGTAACGAACATTGTTTGACGATAACGTCTAATATTTATATTTTTATAAATAGTAGTATATACTTAATCGAAGCTAATATACATCATACGCGAAACTAACCTGGTCAAACCAATGTAACTAAAATAATGGCGTGTCAGTGTAGAAGAAATTTACCCCGACAGGAAAACTTGTACGTAGATGTGGGCGAAGGGGCCCTATTAAATTCAAAGAGGACATGTTTAACACAAGCAGATTTGGCGATCCGGTCACGTCAAGTTTATTACACATTAGTAACGAATCCTGGATTAAAATCCCACTTGAAATCTATGCCGGAATGGAAAAAGAAAGGATTGAGACTGAATATGCTTTTTCCAAATCTGCTTGTGTTAAACATGTCCTCTTTGAATTTAATAGGGCCCCTTCGCCCACATCTACGTACAAGTTTTCCTGTCGGGGTAAATTTCTTCTACACTGACACGCCATTATTTTAGTTACATTGGTTTGACCAGGTTAGTTTCGCGTATGATGTATATTAGCTTCGATTAAGTATATACTATTGCTCTTGGAAGAAGCGGCAAACATGTGTGGTTTGAATGGCCAGAGACTCTCAAAGTGGTACTCGGTCAGCAAATGGGCAAAGAAAAATAACAGCTCACTTAGCCTGGAAGAATTTCAATGGATAGTGGAACGTTACGCACAAGTGGACAGGGACACAGAAAATATTCGTTCATTAGTCGTAGAAAATTTAAAGAAAAATGGCAGACGATACAGGTTTGACCTCAATGATTCGAATAACTACCGATTAATAAATCCAAAATACAAGCCAAGATGTGAATCAAAGGTTAAAAGACCTTACTGCCCATGCGTGGGTTGGGTGGATCCAATGGTGTACAAAGTAATGGATCGGGCAGAGGAAATGCTGAAAAAAAACAAAACGGTCATTACTGTCAAGACAGATACCAGCAAGTTCTGGCAGATATAGATGATATGGATCGATTATTGGACCTACTCAATCCACATAGAACACTCCCATCGCAAATCAGAACAATAAAATGTAATACTATTCATAATACCAAACGAAATATTGAAATTAGATTATTTAATGTTGTAATAATTTGAAAATGATTGTAGATACTTGAAATGTTTACCAGCTCTTTATATTAACATAATCTATAAGTGCTATAATTTTAAAAATTCTTCGACTTTCGACTCTTTTTAAACTATTTATTAACATTTGAACCTATTTATTAAAGTTTTTTAGATTCTGACCATAGCGAATGTGTTGAAATGTACAATTAATATTAGTAGTCAACCTTAACACGTGTGTACAGTTTAGTATCTAGTTATACGAGTATACGACTCACCCTCTTTTACAGATGTAACACTAACTAGGTTGTGGATATATATAGGGCCTTTGATATATGTAATACTCACTTGCATAGGAACCGTCGTACAGTGCGTATACGGTGTGTGTGTACTGACACAGTTAATTGTCCAGTTGTACGTTATTATATATCATACTTATACTAATCATATAGTCGTATTATTATTAATTTATACTAATTCCAAAAGTCATTAGTCCATCAAGCTTCACTTTAAACAGAATGAATGTCCCTATAATATTTACAATGATGTGTGTTTTTTTTGTCTGTCATTAAAGTTTCAACATTTGGAGTGGTAAAAATGCTCCGATCTTTTAAATCACCTAGAGCTGATGGCTCGCACCGACGGCGGCCACCTGATTTCGCCTTTCTACCTGATTGGCACGTGGGTTGTATATTGGAGTGGTCCATCCTCCCACTCCCCAACTCCCGAGTTCCTATCCCATTGACTTGAACATGAAATGCTGGCCAATATCTGACAATAATGCCTCAGATATCCGAACAACTCCAGTTCGAATGTGCCCACAATCAATTTGGTTGTCACCTTTCCTAAGGGATAAGGCTCTACCCAGCTACTGTCATCAGTTACTAAAAGAATCGTTGTATTACCCCGTTGCACCCGTGGGTTGACGTGAGCCTCGGGAACAGTGGTGGTTATACATGCTGTTCCAGGGGGGAAGGGAAATAAACCAACCCTCCCACCACCCCATAGCATTTATATATATATATATATATATAGTATATACATAAAATATAAAATATACACACGGAGTATAGGTATAAAATATAAATGTATAATAATGCTTATATATTAATAATATTAAGTTATTAAGGGTTAGGTGTGTGACGCGTTACAAAGCGCATACACACCGTATGATAAGGTTCATCCATGTATATTTTAAACAAGCATTAGAGCAAAGTAATTTTAGTATAAGTATAAGTATAAGTATAAGTATAAGTATAATTTTCATATAAGTATTTTTAAAAAATACTTATATGATTGATTATATATTACTAATTACTAATATTTACTAGTAATTATTGAGATAAAATAAAAACACATTGGAATATTGCATTAATTACATTACCCGCATTAATTGCCATTTTGGCATTCAAAAATGTAGGCTCAGTTATAATACATAGACGGATGTATTATAAATATATGTGATATACATTATACAATATACATATCTAATTGTCATGATATAAGTTACTGATAGTATGGGTAACAGTGGAAAAGTGGTTTTAGTTCTGACAGTGGGCAAAAATGCTGTCTTAAGCATTACAATAAATTACACAAAATAAATACCTGAGTCTTAGACTATGTATAATAATTATTATTAATGATAAATATCTTAAATGACAAAAATATAAGAGTATTAGTAAAAGTACTGTAATGTACTGCTTAAATTCACAAATAATGTCTATATTGTTAATATTCAGATATTGACATTTATAATTACCTATAATTAGATAGTTTCATACTATACCTACATGCTACATGTTATTACAATACTACATTACCTACTACATGCAGTGGCGCCGAACTATTTTTTTTTAGGTGTGGCAATGAACAATTACTTATATAGCCACCTCCCCTTTGGATATTGGCTATTAGAACTAAGTCGTGGGAGCAACCTCCGCCCCACCAATTTTTAATCTAAAAATATTTTCACAAGTTATAATATTTACCGCATTATGTCTACAATATAGCATTATTTAATATTTTAACATATTACAGTTAAGATTATCTCCAGTAAAAGCCTCCTCAAAATGAAAATCAAGTTTTTATCATCTAAAAACGATATTCACAGTCACTGATTTAGTTATTTAAGCTTTTAGCTAGGTAGGTACATCATATCATTCAGTAATAAATAGAACTATTACATTTTTTTTCTGATACCCATGTAAATATATGTATATTATTTGGTTAATGGTTTGCATAATATTTTTTGAGTATAATGTACTATAGTAATACCTATATTAAATAAAAATATAAATAATTGCTTTAGTTTCAATTCCAATGTAATTTTCACCTGATTCTTATATATTCCTATACATATAATAGTATAATATTGGTAAATATAGGTAGCTATCTAGATGATATTATAAAGTTATATTTATATTACAATTTACAGCTATTTAAGTAACTCATTTTACTAATAGTAAAATATTGCATTATAAAACGTCTAATTTCGTCCAAGTTTCAACTTAAAATTTCTATAAAAAAAACAGTGCTTATATATTTTTTAGATTTTTGGTAACAGTATTACCCACTCATGAGAAATCTCGTTTTAAATTTCCGATCTTAAGCTATAAAAATTGAACATTTTATAAATTTTTAACCAAAATAACGTTCGCGGTATATTGACTAATTTTGTAAGAATCTGTACATAAAATGCTTACAAAAAAAAAATAATCGTACATAATGTATCTTCATTATTTAAAAATTGCTATTATAACAACTTATGAGGAACCTTGTATTAATTGTTTAAGCTTTTAGACCCGTCTCTAAATAGGTCAAAAAAAGTAGAAATATTTTGAACATTTCATCATGTAGGTACCTTTAGACAGTTGTAATATTTTATCATAATCATTTGGTGAAAAATTGAAGTATCTATTTATAGTTGATTTTTGAATTATAACAAAATATAAAAAATCGTTTGAGGAGAAATTATTAACTAACTGTCGAATATCCATCGTAAAAAATTAATATCAAATGTTTAAGCGAAATGATTCCAGTGTTGGGAAAAGCTCACTAAAATAATATCTAGATAAAAATTTTTAAAATAAAATATCTTAAAATGTTATCCAGTAATAAATTAAAATATATTATAACACAAATATTGGTTAGGTTACAAGAACACAAGAGAATTACAAGGACAGTTACTAGTCGCGTTGACTCGTTTGTATTTTGTTTTGATAATCTGATCCTAAAATTTAAACTCTGAAGTATATCAATATTTATATTATAATGGATACTGTCTGTATAATAGTAATAGAATTGGCATCGGGCATCAAGCGGTGGGATGTCAACCAACAACCACCAATAACCCACCACCGATAAATCATCATACAAATTACAACAAATACATTTTATCACGACTTAAACTAGACGGTTATTTTTTTAATAATTTAAAAATGTGTTCATTGCTATTGTCAATTTAGATTTAATTTGAGAAAAAAATATCAATTAATCTCAAATTATTATACTATTATACATTTTACTACATTTATAACGAATACTATTTAAATTTAAAGAAACATATAGTGTTTTATTTTTTTGACATTGCTGACTAGCAGATAAAAAGATGCAAACACTATTTTCATCGCAGCCAATTGAGAAGTCCTTGGGTAAATAACTATAGGAGGTTAAAGTATCATTGTTTTTTTTAAGACTTCAAACTACATTGTTATTAGCTAGTTTTTACTGTGGACAATATTCCACACCATTATTTTTAACTTGCAATTCACTATGTCTCATGCGAGAAGCTCAAAAATAAATCATAAAATGAACTTCGTTTTTTTGACACTCCATTCGGTTTGTGTGGCGGCTACGGTTGGTACGCGTTTTTTATGTGAGGCAGATAGATCGTCGCAAAGAACCCTGGTGGTCACCCATCTGGGAGCCTGCTCGACCTCTGCACACATTATATTAGTGACTGCGTCCAATCACCGCGATTCATCAGGTCACCATTCAATGAACTCTAATACCATCCACGTTAAATTGTTTATTATTATTATTATATGTTTATATTATATTTACCAGTTTAAATTCTTGCAAATGTATTATATAATTTGACGTATAAACAAATTGTATACAATATTACAATCCTTAATATAGCAATAGTACCTACTGAATAGTAAAATATATAATGGTATATACAGATTAGTGCAGTAAATTTAATAATTTGTTGATCGTTGCCACATCGATAAAATCAAATATTAAAATTACTTGACCGTCATGTTTAAAAGGTGATTTTGAAAGGCTTTAATATAGATACTTGTATATTTTAGAAAATTAAGGTTTCGGAAATATAGTAAAAATATATGGAACTAGGTACGTTATGTTATTTGCTATTAGTTAGACTTAAACAGTTAACCTAACTATTAATTAATCATAGAAATAATAAACTAGATATAGGATCAATGGATCATAGTCAAATACAATTTTAATGTAAACATTCAAATTAATAATTATGTATATTCTTATAACGTATCTACTATACAGAGTATGACAGTATATATGAAAAAAAAAGAAAATTAAATATGTCCATTTATGTTCAATTATTACCTAATAATCGTTAGGGATCAAATGTGTACCGGTTATTAGGTATTTTTTCATTGCTCAACATTTTAAAAACCTAAAATATATATAGATCTATTAGAAATTTGATAAAGGTATACAAACAGTATGTACCTACCGTCTATTATAATAATTAAAAATATAAAATGTATCAAAAAAGGATAATGAAAGGATTGCTGAATCAAAAAACTTGAAAATTTACCCATAGACCATAAGTCATTTCATATTAGAAGTTCAAAAGTAATAAACATATAAAAATTAAAGGCACACATTTTTTTATGAGCATTTTAAATT